TATTGTTTATCTGAGTTCCCAGGTTTGCTATTTGGACTGCTCTGGAATGGTGCAATGAAGGGGCTTGTGTTCTGAAAGGGTGTTGGGAAATTCCTATTGTAGCTTAATGACTTTCATCCTGTGTTGGATCTTGGGTGAGGGGCTGCTTCTAATCCTACAATTCTGCCTTTGTTCAGACTTTGCTTCAGGGAGTTTCAAAATATCCTGTCTTGAATGGATTTCTGCCTGCAGTGTTTGCTTTGCTTATGAATAGAGCTATCTAGATAATTGACTTCCTCTTTCAATAAGCTCTTTATCTATTAAATGCTGGAATCTGCTTTGGGCTATTAAGAAAGACTTGGGGGCTGGTTTCTGCTTCTAAAAACATGTTTCTCCTTTAGGGAAATGTAATATTCTGCCTTTTTAAATATTTCCCAAAATATTTCATTCTTCTAGGAGGAGGAGGGCTCCCCACAGCTTTAAGACATAAATCCTAAAATTTATGAGAAATTTTACCCACAAAAACTTTTGGAAACTCAAAGCCTTTGAGTTCTATAAAAACTCAAGGAGAAGCAACAGGGGCTATAAATCATCCTTTTAAAATTTGAAGCAACTCAATGCCTCTCTGCTTCATTTATTTCCACAGGATAAACATGTAAACAGCCTTTATGATGGACCTTATAAAATTTGAGTCAGTTCTTTAATCTGAACTTCTTGCTACTTCAGCTTCCCGCAGTTCAAGTTTAAACCATAAGGCAGGTCAGAAAGGACACTGAGAAGAAATTATGTCAACCAATTGAGAAAGTTCCTTCTTCCAATACCATTCTAGGCATCAGCTGATTATGCCAACCATAAATTCTTTCAAGGCTTCTTGGAGTCAATCTCATTTTCAAGAAGACTAGTAAAGTAACTTCATTGCCTCTATATCAGGGGTGTGAAACTTGCATCGTCACGGCATCGTTATGTGACCATATCATGACTTTTCCCCACTTCACTAAACCGGATGTGGGCCAGAGGTGGTATTCAGCAGGTTCTGACCAATTCTGGAGAACTGCTAGTGGAAATTTTGAGTAGTTTGGGGAACTGGCAAATACTACCTCTGACTGGAGATTTTACAGTCTCCTTCCCCTGCCACGCCCACCAAGCCATGCCCACAGAACCATTAGTAAAAAAAAATTGAATCCCCCCACTGATGTGGGCATGGCCAGTGCATGATGCATCTGCCCCACGGGCCGTGAGTTTGACAGCCCTGCTCTATATGGTGTAGCCATGAATCTTACTTTAACCAGTCATCGGTTTTATCTTGCCAGTGAGATCAAACAAGAGGTGTTCATTGCTCCTTGATCAAATGAAAATACTAACCTCACTGGGTGATCTGTTTCAGCAGGGTGTCAAACTCACGTTGTCATGGTGGCATCACGTGACATATTGGGACTTTTCCCCCTTTGTTAAATTGGGTGTGGGCGGGACCAGTCCTTGATGCGTCTGGCCCATGGGCCGGGAGTTTGACAGCCCTGTACTTCAGGTGTTGGCAGAGGATGAAAAAGCTTGCGTGGTTGCTATGAACCGAGCTGCTCCATCCTCTAAAAGCACATTGTAATCCCCAACCCAGAAAGTGTAAGAGTATTTGACAGCAGGGATGGGATTCAAATTTTGTAACAATCGGTTTTGTGGGCGTGGCTAGGTGAGTGTGGCCATGTGACTGGGTGGGCGTGGCTTCTTTTTTGCAGTAACCGTCTCCCATTTTTTATGCCTACTGGGCCTCAGGGAAGCCTTCTGGGGGCATTTTTACTCCCAGAAGGCTTCTCTGGGGCCCAGGAAGGCAAAAAATGGAGGGGGTGGCGGGTGCTGCATCCTCCTCCATTTTTTGCCTTCCTGGACCTCAGGGAAGCCTCCTGAGCGAAGCAGTAAGTAAGCGAGGGGAATCCCGGCACAGCTGATCATAGAAACAGCTGATCATTGGGAGGGAAAAAAATACCTTAAATACCTGAGTGGGGAAGAACGCAGTCAGTGATGTCGCTCACATGTGTAATGTTGCACATGCACGATAATGACTGACTGGATGGGGAGGAGAGGGGCGGGTGGAGAGGGACGGGGCCAGCCAGAAAACTGGCAGAATCATAACAACCAATTCTATAGAACCGGTCCAAACCGGTAGAATCCCACTCCTGTTTGACAATTTGATCAAGGATTGGATTAGGCATTGGGTGGTCATACACTAATAGAACCCCAAATTTGTCCCTGGTCTGAGTGCCAAGTAGTCCACCCATCCCAAGAGACTGATGCTGGGTTAAAACACATTGCTATGCTCTCAATTGGATCTCAGCTTGTAAGCAGTGATTGATGATCCTGCTTTAATGCCAAACAGGCTTCAGACCAAATGGGGATGGCAGTTCCACAAAAACATCTTCCTTCTGCCTTATTTTGTGTTCATTACCAATGTGTGTCTTGAAATATGGGTTATTTGGGTGAGTGAAAATTACAATTCAAGATTGCGTCTTACATAAAATATAAAAGGGAACACCTCATTAATACAGCCCTTAAAATACTCTTTTCTCAACAAGAGGCCAGTAGCATCCCAACTCTACTTTGAGGAGTTCACTTTAACATAGCAGATATGTGGTGCACAAATTTTGGAACATTAGCTTTGCTCCAACAAAGTTCTTGGCATTCTGGAGGAAAAAACAATTCTCACAGAGGTAAGGAAGCACTGTAATTTGCTCCAATAAGGCTCATGGATGCAGCTTCCCAGCCTTGACCCTTTCCCACACAAAGCTGGAAAGACACCACAGCAGAGAAATTGTCCAATGGGAAGAGATGGTGATCTACATTTGGACTGAATAGTTTTCAAGCTGTTGCCAAAATGTCTCAGTCTGGACAGGTTTTTCTTAAGTTGGAAGGAACATAGGACAGGAGCAGCTTAAATGGCAAGTGTAGAATTGCCTTCTGTGTGATTTGCACCTGGGAAAAGGTTCATTTTGGCTCAAGGCAATTCTCCAAGGGCTTTATCTACATTGTCTCTTTGCCCTGTTTCCAAGAATAAGCAAGGCAACCATTTCTGGAGAGCATAAATAGACAATGTTTTTCTCTATTACCTCCCTCCTTGGCAAAACAACCACAGGATGCAATTTCTAACTAATGTGCACATTTATGACCAAATGTGCCTGCCAACAAAAGCCTTCAATGTGAAACTGATTAAAGTCTGGTCATTTTCAAGAAGCAAGCTGTGATAAAATCAGCTTAGGAAGGGAAAGCGTGTTAAATCAATCTCTCTGCCTTCAAGGGAGTTGGGGAGAAAGAAGTTGCTTTTTGTGAAATGGTCAGCTATACAAATTTGATTAATAAATAAAAATTTACAAATGGATCCAAACACAGAAGAGAATTTATCTGAATGAGAAGACAGCAACCAATGATCTTCACATGTCTCCTCTCCTCCCTTGGTGAAAAGTACACCCCAAAAGAACAGTGCCAGGAACCACTAAAGCAGTGCCAAAAATGTAAAACAGCCCTTCCTCTTTAAGAAAGTTGAAATCCCCACAAATGAAAATCCCAATCTGAGTAGAAACAAGAGCAGACACTCAGGCTAAGTGAAAGTCTGGGCATGCTGCCAAAAGCCATTAACAGCTGTTGGAAAGAATAACAAAACCTGACCACAAAGAAACCTCTGAAACACTTGAATAGGGCCATATAGATAAGTGGAATCAGGCTAAAAACAAGAAAATCCTACTGATGATATTACCTAGCCTGGTAACAAATGTTCAGAAACTAAATTGAAACAAGCTTGGAGAGCAAACCCTTGTCAAAATTGTAAGACTGTGAACCACTAGGCCTTAAAAAGAATTTGGCTATTATGCAAAATGGTTGCTAAATGAAAAAACATGATGAGAGTGAAGTGGAGAGTGAGGAAGTGTTGGAAGAAATCTCCTTGGTTTGTTGGAACCTTGGAAGCAGACACCGGCGCTGAGAAGAAACTCTCACCAAAGCAAGCTGCCAGAAAGAGGAACTCTTTAATTTAGGAAGGCAAGAGGAAGTAGTGATACAGCTCAAGCGTTCCTGGCTAGCCAGTTGATTGGGCAGGCAAACCCATGCCTTTTTATACTTGATTTTCCTTTGAAACTCCTACAGTTTGATGGGTTTTGATGTACCTCTAGCAGGGGTGGGATTCAAATTTTTTAGCAACCGGTTCTGTGGGCATGGCTTGGTGGTCATGTGACTGGGTGGACGTGGCTTGGTGGTCATGTTATTGACTGGGCGTGGCCAACTCAATACCGCTCACATGGAGAAACGCATCTCCTCGCCTGGCTTCTCATGACTGTGGGGATGCTGCAACAGTCGTAAGTGTGAAAAATGGTCATAAGTCACTTTTTTCAATGCCATTGTAACTTTGAATGGTCACTCCACACAAGCAAAGTACCAGGAAAGGAGGGGAAAAAAAACTCCAGAGAGGTTCCTGAGACAGGAAGTCTAGTCCTGCCAAGAATGTAATAAGGGTTAATGGAGAGGCAGTTTCTGTAAGCAACACCAGAATGTTTCCTTCCTGCCTTCCTTACAGGATTAGGCCAGTAATTTCTTCTAACAACGGTTCTCCAAACTGCTTAGAATGTTAACAACCGGTTCTACCGAATAGGTGCGAATTGGTAGAATCGCACCCCTGGCCTCTAGTCTAACTTGAAGTGATTGCCCTGGATTCTTTTTCCTGTTTTACTGGGTTAATCTTGGTCCAAGATCTTTTGTTTTTTCCTATCCTAGGGGTTAATCCTATGAGGGAGGCAGGAAAGAGGAGTTCTAGTGTGCTTTAGTGAGTTATTCTATTCCTCTTTAGCTTATATATGTCTTGAGCCTTATAATTTTTCCAATTGCTTTACACCCTTTGCTCCCAGATTGTCTAGATGAATATTATCTAACTGTATAAGGCAGGCAAAAAAGCAGGAAGCTGTTTTAAGCTTCCAAAGCTCTGGCTACTGCCTTAAGTTTCATTTGATGTGTAATAAACAAGACCAGATGGCAAAGTCCATTTTTATAGAATCATGTTTTATTGTAAAAAGCACCACCATGTACACAATGAAATGCAAAAACTTTCAAAATCTCACTTAAACTTTATTTAAAAGTTCTTTTGTAAAGATTTCCTAGAAACAAAATAAAAAAGAATTTCCACCCCAGCAAAAAATATTAAAAATTATAAAATACACTACATTAGAAGATTGTTAGAAACCTTCTACACCATATTTTAAAAACTTTTGAACATCGTTGTAATCCCAGCAGTGTTATCAGTACCAGCAAATGCTGCATTTGTTACTAGTGTGATTGATCACACATACATAAAGGAAAATTGATATAAAGTCTAATCCAGCAAGAGTAAAAGTAGAATGAAAAGTTGAATCCCTTTTTTTTCAGAACAGACATAAGCCTTTCCATTTAATGTTATGTTCAGTTATGACAATGATAAAAGCAAATCTATAATAATGGCAGTGTTTTCTTTCCACATTCTTTTAGAATTCTTACAATAGCCAAAACAGGTATGCTGGTAGGATCCAAAGAAAACTCTAATTTGTTGAAACAAAATAAAATTGGTGGTGGGTAAAATAGTACATACTGTTGAAATTATAGAGTATATCCCAGGCACAATGAGCATTCAATCCACAAACACTTTAGCACCATATTGATAAAATCGTGCAGCAAAATACTTTCTTCAAGGTTTGCGCAGAAAGTAAAGCAGACATAGCACAGTGCAAGGGAGCCTTATACCCTTAGCTTCTACATGGGGTATGCTGGCAATGGCTGACTCCTGGTTTTCTTAGAGGTATCTGTTGATATTTTGCTGTAATTAAGTTCCAATCATTGTCACAACACCAGACTTGATGTGAGCTAGAAAATAAACAATGTTTTATTAAAATTTCACTTGGGAAATATTTTCATGAAAATATTGTCTGATGAATTTAACAGAATACATAAAGGTAAGCAAGAATTTTGAAGTAGGCAACAATTGCCGTTGTCTAAAGCAGGTCCAGGGCTGACCGCATAAAGTAAGCTGTGGTGAGGGATGCCATCTCACCCTCAACCTTGAAGAGTCTATTGTAGTCTTCTAGAAGATGACTTCTATACGTGTAACCCTGGGCAGGCTTTCCTTTCTTGTTTATCTAAATCTTCATAATCACAAAGACCTCAGAAACTATATTAAAATACACTATGGAAAGCTGAGCGACTTTATGCTGTCAAACATGCTTACAGGAGTACTATCCTTTAAAAATTATTTTCTTATCTATGATTCAAGTTTAATATAGCAAACAACTAGAAACATTTTGGCACTATATTTTAGGACTTGGCAATACAATGTCTATGACTTCTATCTGCATATTACCATATAAACAATGCCATGTAACAGAGAAATATACCATAATTGTTTTACAGACCTATTAATTACTTGCTCTTACAAATAAAAACATGCAATTAAACAATTATCCATCTGTTACCTGAAAGACAGACATTTTCACAGTCTTTTTGTGTGTCAAATCTATTTTCATTTCCATCACAGCCACCATACCAGAATCTAGCACAACTTGCAGTCTTTGGATCAAAATACCATTTTAGAACAAATTTCCTGCAAGGACCATCTTTTTTCTTCAACTGACAGATATCTGTGACTGCAAACCAAGAGACAAAGAATCAGTACATCACTTTGTGTAAAAAAAAAAAAAAGAACACTCTGTGTGAATGTTCTTCACCATAAAGTTCACACACATTCACCTGAACATGACGATAAAGCATTTCCAGTGACAATGAGCATGCTTCCTTCAGGAACAGTAATACACCCACATATAAAGTAGTATTCAGCTTTATTATACACACAGCATGCAGAATTAAAAGAAAATAAAGGATGATTTGTTGTAAAGGAGAGAAATCACCCTCAAATGAGGAGGTAATACAGGTTAAGGTCAATGGAATTCCTGGAAGGTATCTTAGAAAGAATAGAACTTTGTCATATCTTTAAACGCTGATAGAGTTACAAAGAGTTATGGAATTAAACTATATAGAAATTTCAAGTAAAAATAGACATAGACCAGTTCAATTTAAAAAGCCCAAACTTCAGAAATATACAATATGCTCCTGATAACCATGATTTTGCAAGTATCCATTCTACATGGGACTGCCCTTGAAGAATATCTGGAAGCTACAACTGCATGGGCCCCTAGAATGTGGGAATGAGGTTAAGATTTGTCAGTAACTGGGCATTTTACAGATGTATATATCCCATTATCCCAATCAACAAAGTGTGAGGAGAGAGAAATGTTATTAGTTCTGATATTGCTTCTAAAGCCAGCTAGACTTTTACATTCTGCTTGAGCAATATCAGATCTAGCAACACATTGTTTGTATATTAAGCACAATAAATTCAGTGTATTGTTTTATAAATATCACCCATAAATATGTGATATATGTTTATGCAACTGGATGAATGGGTAATAGCCACCAGGATCTTGGCTAATCTGGGGGAAAAAAATCCAAGAGGGTCTTATTTGCTTAGTCTTTCGTTGAAAGATGATCAGAAAATCTCAGAGAGACTGGAAAGTCAAAGAAATACAGTAACTTAGAAGAAGGCAATGGCATACAGCAAAGCATTTTTACATAGCTGCCAAGAAAACTACATGGACATGCCTCTACAGCTGCCAGAAATTGTGCTCGAATCCAGGAAGGCTCTGTGTGGGTATGTATGCACACGTGTGGTACAGTACAATGGTATCCAGATCAAACATAATTAATCAAACAAGTTACACACATTGCCTTCCTGTTTGTTTTAAATACCTTTTTAGTTTTTTAATAATGTTTTAAATACCTTTTTAGTTTTTTAATAATAAGATAAATGATGTAGGCCTGTGTTTTATTAAATCTCAGAATTACTTAATCTCTGAAAGGTAGGTCAAACAACTATTTCATTAAATAATTATTTGCATCATTCTAATTTTCAGCTGTCTGGGTTAAATTTCAAAATGATGGGGAAAAAAGAAGCCATTTGAAGTATTTGTACCAATTGCTTATGATGTCATGATAATATTTCTAGAAATAATGTCATGGTTGAAAATTGTGATGGTGCTTTAATAATATTGTCATCATCATAAACTGCTGATCATTTTAATGGCCTGCCCAATTTGGTGTTCCTTTGAGCCTAATTAACACATACATTTCAAAAATGGCCCAGTTTCTTCATACACACAATATTACCTCTGAGTCTCACATGTGATTGTTTTAAAGTACCTAAATAGATTCAGGGCCATATTTTTATTTGTTATACTCATATATCATTGAAATCTAAAATGAATTGTTTATTTTTCATATGAAGAGAAACTTAGATTAAATCTCTCATTTGTCATGTATTTTTAATCTGAAGGGGGGGAACTTTGAAGAACTTTTAAATAAATTTTGAGCAAATACATCCAAATCAGATAAATAAAATCTGAAATGATCCAAAGTCTGATGTTTTTTTTAAAAAAAGAACACGTAGGCCTATCATTCAAAGTAGAATGACTTCCTTGCATCTGCATGATGCACCAACAGCATCTAAATTCCATTAGGTTGCTAACCTTGCATGAATCAGGACATATATTTCTTAATTTAAAAGAAATCCCTGGCAAGATACATTCTATTCAACAAAGAAGAGTCTAACTCATAGACATAATCCTAGTCTATGATGGGGCATTTTCCTTGATTCAGAAGACATCCATGAAACCAGGAATAGTTTACACTTCCTATTTATTCCCTTAAAAAATAAATCAGAATATTACAGCTCCCGGTTTGAAGGCAAAAAGACACTAATGTTAGAGCTCTCGGTAACTTCATAACCAAAGACAGTTTTCCCAGCATAGCTTGGCAGCTACAGCAGACAGAGATGTAATGCTAGAAAAAGGCGTGACTCCTAACAGGTGCTGCTATTTTCACATCCCATGTGCTTTACAGCACCTTTTGGCTCCTGATTTCGTAGTGGAGCACAGTCTACAAAATATATAATACAAGCAGGTATATTATCTAATAGAAGAATACTTTCTGGAGACTGAAAGACGAACTGACTCCCTTGTTTAATTAAAGCAGTTATATAGGAAAATGGGTGGCTAAAAATATTTGATGTGAATAAAGGCATTTCAAAATTTGAAGTGATTTGGAGAGGGCAGGCTGTTGATATGAAAATAAGCAAAACAGGCTTTTAATTCTTTTTTTTTAATGAATGTATGTGCAATTCTGGGAGAAAATTCAATTATGTTAGTTGGGTGGAGTACAGGTATCCCTTGGTTAATGACAGTGATTGGGATTGGGAATTATGTTGCTACGTGACACAATTATGAAGTGCAACACATGACCATGCCAACTTAAGACAGCAGTTGTAGAAGTCCCTTTTGTGGTCACCAGGTACACCACTTGATCACTATTTGAGACCTCCTACTGCTTGTGAGAAGCTGGCATTGAAGGTCACAAATAGCAATTACATGGCCCCAGGATGCTGCAATGCTATTAATTGCAGTCTGGTTGTCATATGACCACAGCGATACTGCAACAGCTGCAACTTCAAGGACGGGCTGCAAGACTCCTTGTTCAGCACTGTCATAACTTTGAACCATCACTAAAGGTGATTGTTAACTGAGGACTAGCTGCAATTATCCAAGTGGAAAGTTCACATAGGCTTAATCTGCTCTCTATCCATAGTGTGAAAGAAGATAATCTTTAGCCCATCATGCAAGAGCAAAAGAAATCTCCCGCTCGATGCTGGAATCCATGCAGGAAAGCATAAACTCCCCTGCCCAACCAGAGATTAACCCAGTGGCCAATCAGGAGTACGGATATGACCATGTGACATAAACTACATTTCCCATGAAGCACTCCCTTAAGGGGGCAGCTCTCATTCCTAAACTAAATATCCACTCCAGCCAGCACAGAAAGTGTATCTGGGAACTTCCTTTGGAACATGAAGAGCAACATTCTTTAGAAATCTATTTTCTGTTACTTTTTCTTTCTTTCTCATGTCTTTAAAGTTTATTTTTCTTTTTAGTTTGTATTAGCTTTTGTTGTTGTACTTAATTTTGTTAATAACAATATTATTTAAAAAATCTTTAAAAAACAGTTGGTAAAAAGGCATTTTTTCCTCACATGCGTATTTGTGCCTTACAGCCTTCTGCTGAATCGTCTGAGATATTCTACATCCTGCTAAATAAATCAGCAAAATATTTGTGTTTCTACTTCTTGCGCCACCGAATGCTTTTTCCTTTTTTTACATGGAATGTGGGGAAAAACAAACTTACGTTTTCAAGAAAATTAAAGATAAATGGAATCACACAGATCTTGAAATTCTGGAAAAAGATTTTAATAGTAAGATTAATACTAAGTAGGCTTCTTCAAAAGGAAAAGCTAATTGGGAAGAGGAGCCCATGAAGGACAGCAGTTTAAAAAAGAGGAAAACAAATGAAAAATTGCAAACAACTTGGGTTGGGGGTGTGGTGTCAGAATGGAGACATGACAACACAAGCAGCCAATATAGCTGCACAAAGACTTTACTGAATTCTGAAAACAAAAAGAGGACCCAAATATGAGGTTGAAAGAGAATGGTACCTAAAAGTAAGTCTATTAATGGTGAAATCCCTGGAGTCAAGAAGGACAAGAAAGGACTTCTTCCAATTTGTGCAAAGAAAAGAAAAAGAAACTGTATACTAACTGCTCCGAAAGTGCTAATGCTTAATAAAAGTGGCTGTATTGTCAGATAACAAGGAAATTTCACAACTCAACTTCTGTTTTGGCTCATGAGGTCTTCTCAGAAAGTATTCCACCAGAAAGAGATGAAGGGCAGCATGAAGGAGCAGGATTTAAATTTAAAACTGATAGAAGCCTTATTCAAGATGTCATCTGTTTTTATAACTACAAGCCAGTATTCAACATTTCATATTTAAACCTTGGTAATAAGGCAGCTTTTGTCACTTCAGGAACTCTAGAGACTTTCTAGCATGTAGAGATGGTCTTAATCTTGACTGGGAGAGAGAAATGTGTGACCCTGTTGAGCTTTGGATCTTTTAGCTGCTTTTGATCCCAGTGGCTGTAGTATTTTTAAAAGAGGTAATCTACTGTCCTGTGATGACATGGCTCTTCCCCCCCCCCCCCTTTTTTTTTAATTATCAGAAGTTATCTTTGGAAGAAATTTGCTTGATCACAATTTGCTTGGGCATTGTTCTGAGAGATCTCACAAGGTTCCACTTTGTCTTGCCTGCTATCTAAAGTCACTATGAAGCCACTGGGAGGCAATTTCAAGCAGTTATTACTAGTATTCGAATTACTACCAGATATAGGCTATTTCTCCTTTCTTTCCCCTATTTCCAAGATATAGGAGATCAGGAAAGACCACCTGGAGCAAAATTCAGACAAGATTAAATTACTGCTGATTCTGCGGGTCCACTTCAGGATTTTGGTGTTATTCTGGATGAGGTTACATTTCAATTTATCTATAAATTTATTGATTTAATATATATGCTGCCCGTCTCATTGTTGAAGTGACTTAGCTACTGTTGAAGTAAGAGTTCAGGTTCATAACTGAGAGTCTTCCTGAATCTAGTACTGACACTGAATAAATAATGTAAATTTAGATGACTGCATTATGGAACAACCTTATAAG